AGCTTAGCCTCAGGGGGTAACCATGGCAACCAGACAGGTCACATGATCCCACTACTGTTTTCATCTCTTTTATCAAATTTATTACTTAAAAATGATTTTATGGGAACTTATTTTATGATGTTTTGAAAATATTTTATTAATAATAATTATATAATTAAATGATAATATTTAATCATTAGTTATATTTTATTAATTATTATTTTATTAAAAAAGAAAATGCTTTCAGGGGTGTTTAAAGTTAAGGTTCAGATGTTTTTTTTGACAATTCTTTAAAACTTTATGTTAAATGTTAAAAGTTATTTTTGAAAATTTAAACTTTATTTGAATTTTTAAATACTTGGTGTCACGGTGGAGCAGTGGTTAGAGCTGAGACCTGCCCTGCAGATCCAGGTTACCTGGAAAAGAGAAGCAGGTAAAGAAGAAGACGCTCGAAGCCAATCCAAGATGGCCGACAGCGGAGCAGCTTCAGGAAACTGAGCTGGTTTTACAAACACTTGGTGTGGTAGTAGCTGAGAGTCATCCCTAACCTAAACTTCAAGCCTTAGCACCTCCTGCAGGATGTGGCTGTGGCGGCCATCTTGAATTAAAGCTGTTATGTTGGGTGACGGGTGAGAAAGAGGACCTTCTATAAATGTCTGGTTTCTGCAGACGGGAGTCCATTAAAGGTTCCACTGGTTCTGAGTCCCTCATTGACGAGGGACTCCAGGAGGACTCCATATGGACTCCAGGAGGACTACAGGAGGACTCCAGGAGGACTCCAGGAGGACTCCAGGTGGACTCCAGGTGGACTCCAGGTGGACTGATGAGAAGCTGTTGCTGCTCAGGGATCAGAGGAAACCTCTGAATGTTGGGAATAAAATTCTGCAGCTTCTCTAATCTGTTCTGGGAGGACGGCCGGATTACATCTGTGCAGAGACAGAGAGAGGACGATAATCTGTCCATCTCTGCAGCACAAAGCTCCGTCTGACACGCCGCTGCCGCCATGTTGGCCTCTTTTCTGGCACAACAGAACCACGGGTTGTTAATCTGATTGTTCTCTGACCTCAGGTTGACCTTCAGTTGGTGCTACAACCTCCTGGTCCTCTGGCTGGTCCTCTGGTCCTCTGGCTGGTCCTCTGGTCC